CTTGCCATGTGCCATTGTGCTACATGTGAAACAAAGCACTATGACTCACACACTGTAACAGCATTTAAAAGATCTGGACTCAGCATGATGTTGCAACCCAGTCAACAACTACGTAAAATCTTGAATCTTAAGAGCTATCTTGTAAGCAGTATCTTTCAATATCTTTAATCAAGCTAATACTTCTGAACCTCAAGGCCAAGGATAGAAATGTGTTGGCTAACCCTAATGCATCTGTCTTAGAACACAGTCACCAATTGTAATCTGCAAACCTAACCACTGTTACTGTAATTTTAAACCATGGTTTATGGTCTCAGCTTGTTTGTTCAGCCAGGTGGCAGACCACAGGTAATGTCCAGATAGGAAAATTTCAAACCAGCCTCAATTCAAAGCTTGTAACCCCAAGCACAAATACAGCCCCCAACCACAAATTAGCAATGACTTAATGGGTGTGAACCTGTGAAGTCAGTTTGATTTATTAACAAGTCTTGCCAGTCTAGCCAATGGGAGGTTCTTAACCAGTAATTAAAATCATGGTTCTGTAGGATGAGCAAAACCAGATGCACTGAGGAGACATCTAAAGGTATCAAATTGGAATGTGTTGCATAAATTCACCCAAACTGACATGGATTGGGGAAACTTGGGTAGAGAACAGGCAAAAAAACCTGCACCTGTTTCATGCAATACTTCAGAAACTGTCTACAGACTAACTCAAGATTGTAATTTAATACACATTTTCTCTGTATGGGAACTCTTTCCCCCAAAGTTTGAATAGAATTTTAGTGTGCTAGCTCATTCAGCATAAAAACCATAGACTCAGTTCAACATGGTACAGCTGACGAAGAACTTCAAGCAGTTTTAATAAGGTTCCTGGAAATACACCAGATATGAAGAATGCAAATAGGATGTTGGCTGGATTTACTTCCTCCAGAGGGAGTAGAAAACATTACACTTGAGTTCCATCACAAAAATATTTAGTCCAGACCCGTCCAACTGGTGGTCCATAGGCTTATAATGTGGCCCCACAGGATCGTAAACTTTTGACATTATGCGATGCATATACATTAACTATATTATGTATTTTATATGCAGCCCAAGACAATTCTTCATTCAATGTGGCCCAGGCAAGCCAAAAATTTGGACAACCATGATTTAGAAATGCAGCCTTTGCTCTTTTTAAACAAAGAGAACGGGCTAAAGTTTTATACTCTTGTAAAATAAATTATTTTAGGCTTGGAAGTTTCACCAACCTAAGCACACACCCCTCCCACACCCCAGTATTATTATCTTCTTACAATGTCAGAGGGGGAAAACTTTTCAGAATTCTACATCCATGTAAATATGGGCAAAACCTTACAACAGACTATTGATAAAAACAAAGCATTCCAAGTGTGCAAATCTTGGCATTACATACATGAAGTTGAATACAGGTGCATTTTCAATGTAAGGCTACATAAAGGCGTTTTTATCACGAAAACATCAGCCACAATCAACCCAAGGCTGCTCTCTTGTGAAAATGCTGTGGGAAAGGATGCATCCTTGTGGATAATGGCCAATTTCATAAAGCAATTTCATAAAGCCTTTGGCCACAAATAAGGAATCTAATCTTTCGTAAGGCAGAGAAGCATTTGCATCAATCCTAGTTTAAACGTGTTTTTTTTTTAAAAAAAAAAGACTGCTAAAGAATATCAGTAAATGGGAACACTTGTACATGTGTTCAACCACCTCGCTGTAGTGTCCAGCAGTTGAACAGGACCTCGGTGGGTGTTCAGAAGATAGCTAGGGACTGGCCAATGCCTTTTAGAACTAACATTTAAACGTTTTAAACATTTAAAACATTTAAGGGGACATTGTAATGGATTGTGTACCTTAAGTTCAAATGCCAAATACCTTTGGTATATCGACTCTTCTAAAAAGAGATGTCACAAAATATAAACATCCACGCTTGGGCGGTAATCCATCTTAATCCCTGCCAACGATATTTTGTTTATTATATAAGGCTAGAACAAGACAAAATATTGGTTATGCTGTTTGTACCACCCTGTTTTTAAGGGCTAAGTATAGTGGCCTTATAGCTCAATACATCGATTCGTTCTTTACCAAAACACACAATAGTATTTGCACAGGGATGCAACAAAAGTCATTTATAGTCTGAGTGTCAAGTCACTTTAGACTTTTGCAGAAACAAGGCTTTCTTTGTATACACTCCTGCCTACCCTGTTCCTAACAAAGTACCAGTATTTCTAAAATGTCTCTATCAGCTTGTTGATGAAACAATTCTTTAGTGCAAAAAAAAATCTGAAAAAAGTCCCTCTCTTCAGAATAAAGTGCAGACTTTACTAAAAGGAAGATACAGTCCAATTCGAAGTCCAGAATGATGGATGGGGATCATCTTCAGGCAATTTCAACTTCATCCTTGAAATGCAGGTATATAAGATAGCTTTTTCAGACTGTGGGGAAGTTTTACATAGGCAATAGTTACATTTAAATCAGAATAGCCATAATCTTGCAGACATTTCCTTCGGCATGATTTAATTATCAGTCAAGATCCCTGGATTCTGGCTTGTTAGCATGTTAATTTTTCCCATAGAAAACATGAAACAAATGGCAGAGAACCAGGCTGAATGCAAATCTTAATTTTATCAAATTACACAACTTTGTGGTGCATCTTGGTATGGACTGCAAAATTCAAGTGTCCTTCTGTTCTGCTGGAATGTTTAAATTCTTCCAGTGTTCCACACAAGCCAAGCAGAGAACTTGGTTAAGAGAGAGCTGTGTAACTTTCTCATCAACATCCTTTTTAAAACACACTAGAACAGGGATCATGTCAGCACAGCTTTGTCCTGTGATGTAATGGGACTCCCCCCCCCTTCACTAAACTGGGCATGAGCCTGGCCAGTGTGTGACACATCTGGCCTGCAGGCTGGGAGTTTGACAGCCCTGCACTAGAAGGTTATGCACATACATTAATCACACGTGGAAAATATCAGGACACAAGCAACCCCAGTAAGCTTGTAGAAAAGATTTTAGAAATAGGAAACTTGAAATGATTCAAGAATTGTATCGTTCAAGAACTAGGTTGAAGTCTCCTTGGCTTGAAAGAAGAACACTGTTCTCTGAAATCCTAACCTCACTGCTAATGTATTTCATTGCATTGACATTTAAAATGGACATTCACAGCAACCTATTGAGGGGAAAGAGCTAACCCCTTAGCTTTGCAGTAGAGTTCTTGGTTATTCTCATAAGCAAACTTATTGCACACACTTTTGCATAAGCCACCTCATTACCTGCATAATAAAGTGGTGAATTTTTAAAGGGTCATAATGTTCCACTATTCTTGCTACAAGGTAGCAGGACAGCTGCAAACACTACTGGACACCTACAATGTTTTATAATTCATAGGTCCTGCAGGTTGCACTTCCAGATTCTGAAGTTTCGGTAGCTGGAAATACCTACATAGTTTTTTTTAAAACACTGACGCTACTGTAAATATATTTTAGACTATAATTCAATATTCTATAGGAGAAACTACTTCCTTCATCAACAGAAGGTATATTTGAAAAATGACATTTATTCATCCTTTTATATGATAGAAACGTGGCATTTGGCTTTTGACTCTAAAATATTTGCCTCATGCATAACGATTCTTTATTAAACCCTACAACGGTATCTTTAAAAAGGCATCTTAGCCTATCCTTATACACCTAGATACAGATGGCAATACAGATATAATTACCAAGCAGCTATAGCCAACTATCATTTTACAGGAGGCTACTTGATTAGGCCTTCAGAACATTGCAGACCTTATCTTGAGGGTGTTTTGCATTGCCTGAAGGCCAGCTGAAAATGCTGTGGCATCTTAAACCAGCCTTCCTCAACTTGGATCACCCCTTTGGTATGTTTGACTGATCTCCCATTTCCAAAACCAGCATGTTGTTGCACCCAAGAGAATGAGGATTGCTGGACCAAGTATAAACTATAATTCAGTAAGATTTCCACTTCATTTTCTTGAAAACTTTTAGCCTGCCTCATATATGTTTCTGGTGAGCTCAGAAATGCTTTACAAAATGTTAAGTGGAAAAACTTCTCCCGAGGCATATGTACAGTAGGAATGCAATACATAGTAAACGCTGAAAAATCTTTGCTCTTGCATCATATGGCAACAATCCATAGGCATATACTGTTCAAATTCAACCCTATCAATAATATGCCAGTAGTAACGTAGAAGTGACAGCAAAAATGGATTCCTGAACATTATATTGAATCAATTTGATGGCCCATGGGCCAGTTTAGCTCCCTAATGCTGTCAAATTTGGGTTGTCCAGAATATTATAAAACCACACCAGTACTCAGCTTCTGAAATATGTTAAAAATAACAAGTGAGGCAGATTCAATAAGCAGAATAATCATTACCATTTCCAAATTCTGCTTTTTTTATATTTACTATTACATGACAGAGATGTGAGATGCTACTGTTCATATAGCTCGCAACCACTGAGATATCTGACAATGCTTACTTGGATATTTTATACTGGAAGGTATTCCTGTATATTCAAAGTTACTGGGTAAAAACATGAGGTTAAAGTAAATCAGAGAAACAGACAGATGCTGGTCACCAAAAAGCCACACTTAGATGTCCACCCAATGTAGCAGCCAGGCTGGATTTCAGATCTGAAGACTGAAATTCCTTGCAAATTAACATCTAAAGCAACACAAGGTGCATTTCATCATCAACCCTTAATTCTAGTTCTAACAGTTGTTGCTTCTGGTTATGCTGGGGCTCTGACAGTCAAAAATGGGCAAAGTGTGTAAAATGTTCTCCACCTGTTTGGTTCTCTAATGAAATCATGAGCTTGCTCTAACCAACCAGTTATTATAGTACAGCTGAAGGGACTAAAGACCTTCTCCAAGAGATCTTTCTCTAGTAAACCAAGTGATTCCTTGGATGAGATGACTCTTCTTGTTACTTTGCTCCAATGTGGTAAGACTTCTTCACCAATATTAGGCAGTGGGATAGCTTGAAACAGAGGGCAGTATCCAATTTGGAGAGAGATAGATGCCTTTTGCAATTGACGGTTAGCCATAGGAGAGCTCTTCACTAAGGAAAGGACCCTTAGAAGGTGATGGATCTCCTGAGGCTGATTTAGGTTAGTCCTTTGCTGCAGGTAATGGCATCCCAAATCTTCTTCCAGGGCCATACATGTAAAAGAGAAAGGCATCACTTCCCTGTCCTCAAAGCTCTGCATTGTAGAAATCCAAAGTAAATGCTGGAATGTTTTCTGGTTGCAACGTAAGACATGATTTAATGAATCTCAATATGAACCTGTGAGAAAGTAAACACAGGTAAGTAAACTTATTAAAATCATCAAATTAATCAGTTCGGATAGCTTTATCTGTAATTGATCAGTTAACTATTTGAAGGGACCTTTTAGATTACAGAAACTTTGATGTGGGATATGATAATAAAGTATTTTACAATCATGAAAATAAGCAGAAATCGCCCCTGGGATCTCATTTTGCCTATCTGAGGACTCAGATAGGTTTGTTATCACTTTGAACTGTGGCTAGATTAAATTAACATTTGGTGAAACAATCCAAGGCCATAGAGTATTATTTAATCTGCATCTGATTCAATAAATCAAATCATGATTTTTATAATCCTATCCTGTTACAGTACAGTATAAATATTTTTAATTGACTGTTTTATGTTTGTTGATGTTTTCCTACCTGTATATTATTTTGATACTATTATTAGAGGAAAAAGTAAAATATAGATTTTGGTTATAATCAATTTGCTAATACATAGATAATACAGAATACAGATTTAAATTAAGCCCAAATCATTATCTCAGAATTGCTTTAAGCAAATAAAACCTCATCAACCATACGAGAACACCACCACAGCCCCCTTTTAAATTTTACCCTCAATAAAACAAGACACTTCAATTGATCTAACCTATTCTGAAATCTGTTTGATTTTAGCTTAGTCTGGTATGTAAACCAAGCTATTTATTCAATGTGATTAAAACAAATCAGAATCTAAAGAAACAGAGCAACATACACAAATAGTCACTTCATTGGGTAACTCCATTGCTAAGCAATATTGTTGCAATGTACAACATCAGATGACTGTGCCAACTTACAACAACAATTCCAACAGTTGCAGTTGTTGCTTGGCAGAGCCCATGCGGCTGCACTGTCCCATGGTGACATAGCCATCTGCAATCTCCTGCTGGCTTTTCCACTGAAAGGGGGATTTGTCAGAAGGTGACAGTGAAGGTTGCTAATAGCAAATCATGACTGAAGGATGTTGTGATGTTAACAAGCCTTGCTGCCAAATGTTTGAATCACAATAACATGACAGTGAAAACACTGGCAGTTTCAACTATGAGAACTTACTGCAAGTACTCCTTGATCAGCATTGTCATACCTTTGAATGGTCACTAAACAATGGTACATTAAGCAAGGACCATCTGTAAAGAATAGCATACTAATAAATTGAACTGTGAACCTTATTTTATAGAGCAGAATATTCTATGGCATTAATAAATAGCATGCACTATCCATCTTTTTAATAGGTAATGGTACTTCAAAAACTTAATTTTCTCTCTTCTATTCTTTATATTTGAAGCTACAATTAGAGTGTTGCAACTTAAAATATTTTGCACTTTGTTGATTGCTGCATTTGGCACTAAATACCGGAATATTATCTTCCAACAATTGCTTGTTTAGTCTCCAAAGTGATCTGTGGTGTCGCATTTCAGAATTATTCTGGAACTCCTTTTCTTAAACACATTAAATAAACATTAAAGCATATCCAGATTTAAGGGACTTGTTTTGGGACCAAGATGGTTAAAAGTTTCATCAAAGGAAGAACACATTACGGAGAAATATATGAACAAAAGAGAAATCAATTTTAAAAAACCGAGTTCTATCTGCACAGTGTTAACAAGTTTCATATTCCCAAATAAAATATCTGTTGCCTTCAATTGTTCACATACAGAAAATAGTGCAGCCACACTGGGAAGATCAGTAAGTTTTACAGAACTGCCTTTTACCAGCTGATAGTATTTGACCATCTACTATAGGGCGACCTACAGGAATCCAGATGTTTACAAATTATAACTCCAAGTACTTCTAGGAGCATGGCCAAGCATGTGTGTATTATATAACATCTGAAGGCCACAGATTGCCTATTAAGCTAGGGTAACATTGTCTGTCCTTTCATAGGATTACATCTGAGATAGTATTCACAGCATTTAAATCCTGTGCTAAGAGATCATCAAAGGATCACTTACCAGGGTAACCTGGAAAGTTCAACCAAAATATGTTTGCACAAATGATAATAGTTCAGAAAATATATTTATTGGGAAGGAGAGAAGAGAGTTCACTATTAACTCATCTATGTTGTTAATTTTGGCTAAGCCACAGCTCAAATCCAAGAACAGACTTTAAAATTGGCAACAGGAAACAAAACCGCATTATTCTTATCCATTTACTCAATCCAATTTTCTAGAACTACACAACACAATTACTCATAGAACTGGCCAACCAAGGGTTGGGCTGGTTTGTGGCTTAATGTAATGGTGAACACAACTCCAAAGGCCTCACACAGGGAGGGGCTCTTATTTTCTTTTTTTTAAAGAGCTTAATCTGAACCCCAATTTTGTCTTGAGATCTGCTTTTAGTCTTTGGACTAAACCAAGAAATTTATAAAGCTAATTTTGAGCAGTTAAATGAGTATGTAAATGAGTGCATACATCTTTATATTCATTACTTCAGCCAGGTTTTCTTTTAATTAAAATTCACATTTCTTCTGCCCTCAGTGTAACCAATATGTTTCCCCATTCAGTTGTTTCCCCCTCAGCACAACCGCCTTATGAGGTAGGCTCGACTGAGAAAGAATACCTGGCTCACAGCTATCCAAAGAGTATTTTCTGCTGAGAATGGATTTAAATCCCAGACCTGCCCATTTGGAAATTAAGAGAGGGTTGTAATATATCCCTTTGTCATTTCCTGTTTTTATATTGTTATTTCTGTGTAATAATTATGGAAAGAATACAACTTCTGGAGGCAAGTGGTTCCACTGATTAATTGTTCTGTCGGGAAATTTTTCCCTAGTTTTAGGTTGCTTTTCTGCTTGATTAGATTCCATCCGTTGCTTCTTGTCCTCCCTCAGGTCCTTTAGAAAACAGATTGACTCCCTTTTCTTTGTGGCAACCCCTGATATATCGGAACACTGCTATCATGTCATCCCTTGTCCTTCTTTTCATCAAATTAGACATACCCAATTCCTGCAATCATTCTACGTATGTTTTAGCCTCCAGTCCCCTAATCATCGTTGTTGCTCTTCTCTGCACTCTTTCTAGAGTCTCAACATCTTTTTTACATCATGTCGACCAAAACTGGATGCAGTGTGGCCTTACCAAGGCATTATAAAGTGGTACTAACACTTCATGATCTTGATTCTATCCTTTTGTTTATGCAGCCTAGAATAATGGTCTTAAGTGCTTTTATTTGGTTGTTAGTCACTGAATCTCAAGGGTTGGGCAGAATACACATTAAAAAAAAAATCTAATTCCACTTCAGGAAATTGCAGGAAATTACCCCAAGGGACTTACCTCTTGGTTTGGTACATCATAAAAATCTGAAATATAGAGTTAATTCAGAAAACCTTTGAGGTAGGTACATGTAAGCATTACAAGTCAACATGATATGCCACATTTTAATTTAGGCCAGGCCATTTTAATCCTCGGCAGTTACCATTCACACATCACCACCTGTCTTTGATGAGATTTAGCCTGGGTTTGTTTTTCGGGTGGCTTCGCCGGGCAGGTAAAACTCCATCCAATTCGTTCACAATAGATGAAGCTACAGAGTTGGGTCACTCAGTAAACCAAGTGAATTAGGCAGCACAAACCCAGAAACCGGGGTTATTTCCATTAAAAGCCATTTATTTCATGTCTCTGCCAGCCAATCTCTATGGTTACCTTTGCTTTAGGATACGAGTCCAGGAATGTCCGCTTGCTGATAAACCCCCGTTTGTGCAGGGAGTAAAAAAATATACAATTTAAAGCAGGCAGAGGCTGCTGACCCGCGTGGGGAGCACTTCTGATTCTGGTGATGGTTTCTCTCCCTTTCACGCCCCCCCCCCACCCGCCCGAAGGAAAGCTCACCTGTAGCCGGACGTTGAACATCATCGAAGCCACTAGGTACAGGTAAGGGAAATTGATGCGGAGCTTCCAAGCCAAGTCGAAGAAGATGAGGAGGGTCCGCGTCAGCCCTTTGCAAAAGATGCCGTAGGTGCGGGCGGTGGCCGACTGGGAAAGCCGGGCAGCCAAGGTGGACAGGAGCACCGACGTCGCCTCCGCCGCCATCGACGCCCTCCCCCCCGCCACACACACCACACACACATACACCACACACCTGCCGAGCAAGGCCTCGTAGGCTCCGCCTTCTCCGCACGCAGTCGCAAGAGACCCGGATGTCCATGGACCGAAGCAGCGCGCCTGAAGGGCTAATCAAGTCAACTAGCCCGGTCGCTGACCATGACGTCAGGACGCAGAGAGCGTCCCCTCGTCCAATCCAAGGCTTTCTAGGAAGATATCCCCCTCCCCCTCCCCAACCCGGCTTTTCCAGTCTGCTTTTTTCCCCCCTCTTTGCTGGGATTGGGTATTTTGTCTTTCAATCTTTAGGGCAGGCTTTAAAGCAACCTTGTTTTGGTTGGTTTGTTTTATAGTCCATCTGTTTCTTGGCTCACCCAAATGCAAAAACCGGTAAAAAGAGGCATGACAAGCCAAAACTCCCCCCCCCCTCATGTCATCCTCTTGCAAGAGGCGATTTACTAATCGAGGGAGTTCATGACTTCATAAATTGCATAATTTGGGTTGCAACATCATTACACACATGACTTTCTCGTGGCTTATATTAGATTTCTTTAAGACTGCAACTCTGATCTGGAGGAAACAGCTGGCAGTCATCATCCAGGAGCGGTATTTATCTTGAATCAGTGAATGAACAACAGCAGTGATAATATAAATGAATTAAAGTTCCTCTATAGCAGGGGTGTGCAACCTTGGCAACTTTAAGACTTGTGGACTTTAACTCCCAGAATTCTGGGAGTTGAAGTCCACAAGTCTTAAAGTTGCCAAGGTTTGAGACCCCTTGCTCTATGCCTTCTCTGTTACATTACTGCCTTCTAACTTCACACAATCAATTACAAACTTTATCCTGCTTTTGGGAATTATGCCAGTGTGTGTGTGTGTGCCTTTTAACTTTATTTTTAGTGCACAACACTGGCTGCAAACAAAGACAAGGGGTTGTGGATTATTGAATTTGCCACCCTCTGGTCCTGTGGTGTAGATTGAGAGCGAGCAGAGTGGCCATTTTTCATTAGTGCTGATGAGAAGTCCTTGCTATAGACCAGTTTCACAAGCTTAGCAATTTAACATATTCAATAAACTTTGCATGTAGATTTTCATGCCCCTAATGTATACAGGAATATGCATTTGCTTCCAACAAGTTCCCATTTCTCATCATACCCTTCAATGGGCATGTCAAGATTACAGAAGGGCAAAATTCTCCACCCAATTCTAGATAATGGTACGCACAGCATAGTGTGAATCTTGGGAGATGGCTTCAGAATCCAAGCTATTTAATAAAAAGCAGAATTGTTCTACAGAAGCTGGTCCTTCAGGCTTTAATGCACATCATCATGTGAAAAAGTCCCATAGTGAACAACCTTCCCCCACAAGTACTAGTCTTAAAGTGGCCAAGTTTGGGGACCCCTGCCCTATGTAAATGGAAGGAAGCACATCTCTGGAGCTACTCATTGACTTCATGGGGTCCACCTGTGTCCAAAGGGCATCTCTGGAAATAAAACTAATGCTGGATGCTTCGGCTTTGCCAGTTTTTGAGTGCTTCTTTGAAACCTAATATGCAAATACAGAGTTCTGATCACTCTTGAGCAAAATCTCCAGAAGGTGCACTTGTAAGGTTTAAGCTACTACTCTTCTATATGTGAACTTGGGAGTAGTTGGAACATTTTTCTCTACTTTACAGGATTTCCAGAAACAAATTCATCAAGGTGAATGAGCTATTTATAGATATGTGCAGGGGTGGGCTTTAAAATTTTTAGCAAAGGGTTCTCTGCCCAGTTGCTGGGTGGGCGTGGCCATAGTGGGAATGGCCTAGTCAGCTTCCTGCACCATGGCAGGGGGCGGCAGCATTTTTGCCCCTCCCTGGGCTCCAGAGGCTTTCTTGAGCCTTTGGGAGGGCAAAAACAGTCTCCCTGGGCTCTGGAGGCTCTCTAGAAGTCGGAAACAGGCCTATTTCTTGCCTTCCTGAACTTCCAGGAGGCCCGTTTTTCGCCCTACCCAAGCCTCCGTGTGCGCCCTGCACTTACCTGCATGCCACGTGGGGATTCCTGAGGGGCGGGGTGGGTGGGGCCAGCCAGGAGTGGGATTTGGGGGTCCTCCAAACTGCACAGAATCTTAACTAGGGGATCTCCCAAACCCCCAGCAGCCCATCCTCGATATGCGAATGTCTCTCCTATATTGACAATTCCAGATTCCCCCCCCCCAAAGTACTCTTGAAGCAAACAAGCCTAGTTACTTTGCCCAGTTGAGATAGAACCAAATGCTTATGTTTTTATTAAAGAAAATAAAGCTGGTATGATTTCACTAGAGTTTATGAGAACCATAAATTGGGGGAACTTTGTCATTTATAGAAGGCAAACTGTTATAATCACATTTGATTTATTTATGGGGTTTCTTATAAAACACATACAGGGCCTATTTTTTTTCTTTATTTAGTGCACAGATTAAAATCATGAATCAGGATCTACACAATATTACAAACAATGTTATTAACTCATTTGAAAACTCATTTTATTTCAGTGACACCACAAATCTCATCAAACAGTTGATTTTTAAATGTAAATCACATACACATAACTTCTTCTATAAATGTATTGGCTTTGACATTTCTAAGGCCTGTATTTTTTAATTCAATGTATGTGGCCAAAGTAAAAAGTTTAATTATGCAGTATTGAAAACAAAAATTTACATTAAACACTTGGAAATAAATGCACAGGTTCTCTCCAAACTAGTTGGTAAATCTCTGCCCACCCCCACACCATCCTGGAACAAACAAAAAGCGTAACTGCATTAAAAAAAAACCTCTTGCAGTATAAAATGGAGTTTCTTTCAAAACAGAAACATTTGAACTGCCAAAAAAAATCTGTATTTTTGGTTTTGTTGAGCTAGACTTACAAGGTAGGTAAGCCTACACATACTAAATTTTTGTCTGTTTGATATTTCAAAATAGCTTCATGATGTACTTTTCATCAGTTAATTTTGATGAAGAACATTCCTCTTTAATACTATATGTGGAAAGTATAATTTTTGCTGGAAATGCGCAGTCAACATTAGGCTGTTCCCAAATACCATGTGTGATTCACTAGAGATTCCTATGTAAATAATAAATCCAGCCTATTGCTCATGTTTGCACCTTTCACTGACTGTAACTGTTACCTCTTAACTAATTTTTATTTAATTATGCCATCAGCTTGGATCATTTTTTTCTATATTAGCTGCGCCCACATGTGGTACTCTCAGGTGTTTGGATAGCAACTCCCCAAAGTAACTGGCAACTGTCTGAGGGAAACATTGTCTGAGGGATACATCAGGATGAGAGAGCTTAAATTTAGCTTAGTTTAGATCTCTCAGATGAGATTCATCAATTTTATCTCACTCTGTGCAAGATAGGCAAAGCTCTGAACTATTGGGACGAGTGGCTTGAACCCAGATTTTTGTTTTATTTGAAAATACATTTCCAGTTTCAAACATACATATTCTCTGTCTCTTCAAATTACAAAAATCAAACTGTGTTCTTTGCTTTTTCTGAGTAAGGATTTAGAGCAAGGGTCTTCAGGTTTAAGACTTGTGGATTTCAAGTCCCAGAATTCCTGAGCTAACATGACTGGAGGAGGAATTCTGGGAGTTGAAGGCCACAAGTCTTAAAGCTGTGAAGTTTGAAGACCCATGATTTAGAGCTTGGTCACTACATGCAATATAGATTAACATAGATCTGCTGGCTACTGGGTAATATTGCATCATTTAACTGGAATTGCCCTATTCTTCCGTCAAACAGAATGTGGTTCTGATCTATATATTAGCTCCTCTTGATTAATTTATTTAAAATAATCTACTGAAACTGTTAAATTACTGTTAAGTCCCAGATAAGGAGAAGCAATCCCCAAGGTATCCAACTTAAAAGTTCTTGATATAGCAAAAAAACCCAAACCAAACAAAACTAAGCACTAGAAAGACTGGATATATTGGTCTCCATGTTTTATAAAAATTTCATATAGAATAATAGTGGAAGGACCCTTGCTATAAATTTCTCTTCTGGACTCATCCCAGGGAAACTGATTTTATGACATTATAGCAAAGAGGAGAAGGATCCAATGTCATCTGTAACTTCAGAATTTGAAACCAAAAATGGACAGACATAAAGGAAGAAACTAAAACATAACAAACAAGCAAAAAAACCAATTTAGACTAGCATCTACTTCAGAAGGCAGTTCATTTATTCTTTGCTGCTGAGCATGCATGTGGCACTCAACAAAAAATATCTCTGACTTTTAGGCAGCTTATTTCGTATCTTAATTTAGGAAACATCACTAAAACAAACCAGTCCTGGATGCTACAATTTGTAATTTGATATAAATTACCTTGAAGTCCTGATTCAGATTCGTGTTAAAGTTGATGTTAAATTCTTGCAAGAACATATCAATATAAAAAACAAATTCTTACAAATTCTTATAAATCAATCACTGGCATCATTCAGTTATATTATTATTCGTGGCTAATACACTCAAACAATGTACCTACATTTTAAAAATCTTATTTGTTATGTTCGTAATATTGATTTTGGAACAGCTCAGGAAGAACAGTTTGCATAGGGTCAGCAAAAATGTTGAGGCCTGAAAGAAGACAAACTCTAAATTCTAGAACCAATTCTAAAATTATATCATTAAATTTAAAGAAATGTACCACACAAAAACACTATTGTTCCCCTTGTATTCTTATCTTCTTAACTGTGTATTAAAACTTCATCAGTAAAAGCTCATTAATAATTTAGTTATGGATACTCTTTAGTTCACTAAAATCACCAATATTAATTTTGGAATATACCAGTGGACAATTTGCTATTTATTAAGTTGTGGAAGAATTTTTATCACATATTGAAAGAAATAAAACTAGTATTTCTCATTCCATTTTCATCCTAATAATCATTTTTGCTTAACATGTTTGTTTTTCAAATTAAGAGAAAAACTAAAAATGACTAGGAAGCAACAAGAAACACTCAGTGTTTTTAAGTGCATGTATTCTAATTATCTGTATGTATAATTCATACTCTCACACGTACAAGTG